TGCATTGGGAAGCTATTATTACTTGTAGGCCTGAAGCATTAAGGGAAGGGCATTTGTTGGAACTTTGTAACCTGTCTGACAGAGGCCCTGGCCTAAGATAGAGGACATGTAGCTTTTGCCAAATCATAAAATGGTAGGGAGAGAGCCAGAGGAATAAACACCTTGACTGTTCTCTCCTTTCATCCTCTAATCACTGCTAGCACTCCCCCAATAGTTGAATTGACTGGAAGCCAGAGGCTGTGTTTGCTCAGATAATGTTGTTCATTTGAGTTCTGTCTCCCAATGCACAGAGTGAGGCTAAGAGAATTTCAAGAGGTAAATGAAGAATATCCAAGAAATTTGTCAAATATTTATATGACTTTCGTATGACCTGAGATTCTGATGTGAAAAATAACATGACTTACTCAATGGAATTGTTTCTATCTTGAGGAGAAGAAGAGGAAGAAACCATAAGCATACCAAATGAGCATTTAGACTAATGTCGGGAACACAGGTACGGAAGTCCACTGTGTTGTCATTAATTTCCAGAATCTCTCAAATTTTATCAGCACTAAACATCAGGGTCAGAAAGACCTACTTTTCCCAAATACAGTATATTCTCTAATAAATTTCTTTGGGGAAGCATTGGACATTCCCAGTAAAAATTAATAGGTTACTTGTATTACTTTTGATGTTTTTAATCATACTACCTGTTATTAAAGATGACTTGTATCAGAATCAACTAAGGATCCTTATTAAAAACACAGGACTCTGTGTCTCCTCAGCCCTCAACTGAGTACCATAAGTATTTGTATTAAAATGTCTAGTGTTTTAACAAACACTTCAGTTGAGATGTTTGAGAATCATGTTCATAAATTTTATTACCACAAATTTAAGAAGAACAAGACCCTCAGGGAAGCTGTGGGTGGGAAGGATATACAATTTTTGCCTGTTATCCTGTTAAAGGGTGCCTCTCCACATATCTATAAATACTTCATGAGTTACTCAGCAAAAACCAAACATAGAACTGTCAGGAAAAGAACTAGATAAAATATTTTTATTTGCTGTTCTGTCTACTAGCCTTTGGGCCTTGTTACGAAACATTTACTCATTTTCAAAACCCATCAGGTTTTTTGCAAACTTTACTGTTTTTTCCCCCCATGGGAAATTACTGCTGTTGAGTCTGACAAGAGATAGACTTGAAACTGAAATTATATTCGTATAGTATTTTACTGACTGCACCACTTTCCATAAAACTATCTCACACATTGGGAAGCTAGAAACTGTGCTTGGTGTTGGGCAAAGAATAACAAATAGGAAAGTCATGATGTTTGCCTTCATGGAGTTTCTGATATAGTTAATATTCTGAAGATTTATTTTAGGTTGCAGAGCTGTAAGGTATACAAGATATGTGTTATCTTATTTTTACTATGAGACAATGGAAGTTAAAGTGGCTACTTGACTGGTCCATATCTGTACTTTAGTTAAGTGTGTACATCATCTAAATTATTCTACTGATTTCAAGTTTAGTATTCTTTCCACTATCTTATGCTATCTTTCAAACTTACATATTTTGTATAGTTTTCAAACTTAAATATTTTGCACAGCTTAAGTCAATTAAGCCCTAACCTTTCTTGTTCCAATTTAAAATGTATATGTTTATGTCTGAAGATACAGTGAGTCAAACTATGTTGAGATAATTAGGAATGGAAGACAAGAAGAAAATCAATGGAAATAGAATAACTGGGAAACAAATGATCAATTCACAGACTGACTTCTGTATGTATAAAAAAGAGACTAAGTGGTCTTGGTAGAAAAGATAATGTAAAGATGACTCCAAGAGGAATAAGTGAAAAAAAAAGCAATTTTATGGCTAGTGATTCCTTTATCCAGATCTTTTATTGTATAGCCAAATACTCGTCTGTGAAATCCTGCCCATCTCTTTGCTTTAAAGCAATTCATCTACCTTTGCCATCCCTGCCTTTCTCTCACACATTAAATAATGTTTGTTCTTACAGAAGGTAGGGTAAATTTTCCCATTATGAAAATAAGCACAATTCATATTTTCTCTTCCATTTCCAGAAAGCGCAAACCTGTGAACGAAAAAGGTAGAATGAGTTTCTTTGAAAACTAAATAATCAACATTAAAACTCCATGTATAGTATTTTGCTGCATAAGGTAGAGACAAAAATTATTGGGTGGGGGAAGTTAAAAACAACATTCAGACCATCAAGGAACTTTCAGTATGCTAGGGAGTATAAAGTATATGCATTTGAATAGCTCAGTAGTAATTCAATGTGACATAAGATTAAGCAGCAAGTAAACGGTAGTTACAGTCGTAATCCTTAGGAAGAGATGGATAGGGATCTGAAAAGATGGCAGAGACTCCATCTTCTCATCTTTTCATAGAAGATAATATGTTAGTTCTGCCTTGAAGGAAGGATAGTATTTAGATCAGCAGAGGCGGGAAGATAGGAGAATCCTGTAGGAAAAGTAGCTTCACAGACTGGAAATGAGCTCAAGGGAAAGTAAGCTGATTAAATATTTTTGAAATAAAGATTTATGTTATAGGGCAGCAGATATAAGGCAGTACACTGTATTGTAGTTGCCCGTTAATATGTTTATATTCTCTGCTACACTGATAACACATTCACCAGATATCTATGGGATACCTACTATGTGCCTGGATCATCTGTAGAAGGATGGAGCTTTATAACATGAACATTAGAATCACCTTGTGAATGATGTTGCACCTGATTCTCGGAGACTCTTAAGGGGAAGAGTAGGTAAAATGCTACTGAAAAGTCGAAAGAATCTGCAAAGTAGCAACTTTCAACAATAAAATAATGATAATTTGTTCTAAAAATATGTGAAGAGAATCAGATTAAGCTAAAAAAAAAAAAAACCCACAAACATATAAAATGTTCCAACAGTGAGGGTAGAAATGAATGAGAAAAAGTATTGAGAATAGAGGTGGGTTATGACTTAGATGAAGAGCAAAAGAAGGGGATAGTAGGGAAATGAGAATTGTCCTATTGCTGGTGTTCTCTCATTAGGATGAACATCTGCTTATATAACCCACAGTAGGGTATAGAGCTGCCTCTCAACTATTTACTAACTTGCATTCAAGAGAATAGAACATCTCAAGAATAAAAACTGCTAGTTATGTCTTGTATTCTGAGTTTCCAGTGACTTACATATCTTGGGGGGGAACTGAGCCATCTTCCCATGTCCAGATCTCATTTGAGTTCTGGCGGGACAATCCAACCCAACGAATTAATCCAGTCCTGGATTTGATATATTCCTATTGCAAACACAAATAAATATAATGGTCAGAATGCTCCCACAGTTCTTTAAAAACATAAAGACAAAGCTTCATTATAAGACCAAGGACCAAAACAACAAGTTAGATTATGTGTCTATATTAATAGTAATCAATTATATTTGCTATTTAGATTGTACCAAGGTCACTTGTTTTAGAATTTAAAAATATTCATAGAACACAGGAACTAAATTATACACAAAATAGCTGATATTTTAATCTCCATATATGTTTATTTTCCACCAATTGAAGATTAGAGTACCAAATATGGCACTTAAATGAGATAAATGGTAAACAAGTAGAGAAGAAAAATGAAAAAGAAATACATTATTGGCGAAACTTTATATTTCCTAGATTTAACCTCTATTACCTTTGATTCATTATTTAGTTTGCCTACAAAATTTTGCATTAGAAGTATTAATTTATTGTGTTTGGTTGGGTAAAAGAAAATTATTGGATGTCTTTTTCAAAGGGATTTACAAATAACATACATCTATTTTTCCTGATTTACCATTTTCTACTTAGGAATTTTCATATGTTTTATTAATTGCAAAGTTTTAGGCCTGAAATAGTTCCAATACATATTTGTCAAATTAATAGATGAATTAATCAGTCAATCAATCAATCTATGGGTAACAAAATCAAATGGAGGTCAAATGTTCATATATTCTCATACTTCCCAGAAAAACAGATAGATGAGAGTACATTTTTAGCAAATAAGAAAAAACTAGAGTTTCTAAACAGACATGTGAGACACAGAATGGCATTTCATAAAGAGAAAGTCACTTAGGACTGCTTATTTCTTAAAGCTTGAGCCACTAGTCACCTTTCAGTGAATTCCTATTCTTTTCCTTAAAATACATCCACATTACATACTTCATTATAGGAAGTAATATTCTATCTGAAATTCTGCCTGAAATATAACTTTATTTCTCAAAAATTATGTTACTTCCTCTTTTAGTTATAAATATCCAGCCTGGCATCAGCTTAAAATAATAAGATTCAAGAGGTATTTATATGTCTCCAATTAATCTCTTTGTATTGGAATTGAGACTTTAGGGCACACATTTATTTTGTCTGATTGGAAAGAAAATTTTATTTATCTAAATATATTCTCTATGAATCTGAGCCTACAAAAATAGTAAGTAGATGGTACAGCAAGTTAAAATAAGAGGGCACAAAATGATCATGAATGCCACTAGGCTGATCTCCTCATGTCTAGTACACTACTATGTACTTCAGCTCTCAAGAAATTGTAAGTCAATTTTGCTGATCAACTATATCAATTGTGTAGAATATGACTGGCTTGAATATTTAAACTCTGTTGAATTTCTATCTGCACACAGCCCCAATCCTGATCTTCTATTCCCATTTGTATGTTTTTATTGTAATGTACAAAAAAGTAAATGATTACTATACTAGAAATTATAGAAGAAATACCATAAAGAATTTTTGCCTTAAGAAAAATATGTTTTGATAAACCTGTTACTGGGTAGAAGGGAGACTCCAAGGCTTAGTTTCTGGCCAGAACCCAGGATTCATGAAAAGAAAAGCTACATTAAATAATAGAGTGTGAATGTGGACATATTTTGTTTGAAATTATAGCCTTTGTTAGAGGCTGTCAAAACGGGAAGTGTGGAAGAGGAGACATGTTTAACAGAAAATTTTCAACTTAAATCTTGTGTGTTTTGCAAATGAAATTACTCCCCAAACTGTTTGGGAGAGCCTATGAAAAGATGGAGTTTGCATTATGATTTGTCCAGTTGTCTATAATTTAGCAGAAACTAAGAAGCATATAATTTGGGGATAACACTGTTGTTTATATTTTATAGTCATATTGAGTTTCTTTACACTTTCAGATTCTTTATGAATTAGCAAATAGAGTTAAAGAAGCTAAAAAAGGTTAGATGACTTGTTTTAGAGATAAGACCAGAACTCAAAATCTCAGTAGTCTTATTTCACCACTTCCTACTCTCAAATGTAGTTGTTACTGAGCTTGATAAGGTTCTCAGATTAGCACAAATGAGGAAGAATGAGAAAAAAAATTTTTTAAGTCAAACGTTTCACTTGAGATTTTTCTCATTATTTCAAAATATTTGACACAGGAATCTCCTTACCAGAATGTTCTGGCTGGCAATCTTCAGTAGAGTAGCATTTATGTTGGTACAGTACTGCTTACTCTCTTCCCAAGTTAAGTTGTGCCTGAAAAATCCATAGCAACTATCTCCATAATATCTCCAATTGGTGTCACATGGGCTGCACTTATGGTCTTAAGGAGAAATCAAGCATAGGAATCTTTTTTGTTTCGGAATTACTTTTTTTCGTAGATTCAGTGTTTCCCATAGTTCTCAAGATTTCCCACAGATAGCATCACAGAAATACATCCAGGGTGGGGGAAATGAAAAGTTTACCAAGCCATACTTACTAAAGTTATCCTTTTGTTCTGAATGTTTTATTAAATCTTGACAGAGCTGGTTGGCTAATTGTTGCAGAGTTTCTGAGATATTTTTATTCTTGACTTGTAGGTAGTTTTGCTGTATGACAACTAGATGTAAAAATTAGTTAATATTTTATAATCAAGATAATTAAGGTAATGTAAAGGCCTTTCAATAAGCTTTAATTTCTCTAGAATTACTGAGGTTTATCCAAAAGAATAAATGAACTATTTGAAGGAGACAGTCACAAATAAGGAGATTCCAATCGCCTGCCCAAAGCAGTTGTTTTGGTTTCCTTAAATACAGATTTCTAAGCAGATTTCATTAAACAATGACCTCTGTTATTTTGTTTTTCATATAATACCAAAATATCCATTCTTTGAAAAATAAATATTGATTTCTTCATGCTGAAAGTATTGTGATATTCAGGTAAATAAAAAATGATGAATAAAAGATTATAAAATATCTTATGAAAAAATGAACTACACAGATGATAAGGTGACATTGGGGGGCTTTTAGATATATAGGAAGAAAAATATTTATAAATTAGGTGAGATACGATTTATCTCTTAGTGGAAGCAAATACATTCATTAAAAAAATAGGAAGAAGGATATTTTAAGAAGAGGGAATAGAATGAGCAAAATCTTAGGCAGAGGGACATAGGATTAATTTGCAAAACAGAACACTCCATTTTGGCTGGATCTTAAGATATGAGGGATAGGGAGAAAAAAAAGTTTCAAAAGATAGTGTGGATATGTGCTGAAGAATAACTTAGACTAGTTGAAAATTCTTGAAAATAATTTTTAATTAATAAAAAATATAAAAGATTTTAATCAGAAGAAAAATATCAGAGTTCTTTATTGAAAATATCTTGGAAGTTATGTATAGGATGATTAGAAGAGTAACAAAAATAGTGACAATTAAGCTTAGTGGCATGCACTAAGACTCCTAGGTATTATCTTCCTCACACGAAATGAGTCAATACTTACACATAATCCCCAGAGCCACCAACCCAACAACCAGCCCGATGCACAAGATCAGCAAAATCAAAGCTATCACACGCCACAAAGATGAGGAAGCAGGGTCGACTGTGGGCATACAATAAAGATGTCAGGGGGCAGGCAACATGGTATAGTTATGAGGCAGCATCATTCTTGGCCTTTCTAACTCAGGATTTTTTAAGTGATATAAACAGTATCATTGGCAGATCTTGTCAGTGTTCCCTTGGTGATTATCAACAGTAATCACAACCCACTCCCATTCCACACATCCATGCCCATCTTAAGAGGACTTCTCTCTGAGTCTAAATATCACTAGTTATTAAGATCTTGTGTGTTTGTTTTGTTTTGTGGCCACCCCCATAAATAATTGCTTTAATGAGCAGGACCTGGAGAATCACACCCATTTGGTGATATATTTAAAAAATGGGGTTTCCCAACATTCTTTCCCCTTATGGCCTTGCTTTCTATTCCCTTTAGCATTAAACTCTATAAGCCTAAAGTAATGTTCCCTGTTTGTATCTAAATAAGTTTATCTGACCCTATGTAGATACTACTCAAATGCTATAGAAAAAGTTCATTCAGGAAAATAAAATAAAACTATACATATCATCAAGTTTTTTTTTTTTTTAAAAGGAAACTAAGGTTGACCCACTTTAATAATTAATTTTCAAATTTCTGACTCTGACCATCTTACCTGAGGTGAGACCCGGCTTTCGAGTTTTAATATTTAAGGTGATATATCCATCTTCATCCTGCATGGCTTTCTTTGCACTGCAAGAGAGCTCAGGGTTCAATGACTTTGCAAAATGTAGTATCCACTTTTATGATTTCATTTTCTGTCAGTCTGTGATACTCCTCTCTCTGGTAAGGTGGAGCCATGAGTTGGGACATATGTTTTTGGGGGGTGTGTATGTGTGTGTTTTTCCAGGAAGCCTTTTTATAACTGCTTGGAGATACACAAACCTTGAATATAAAAACACAAAAATAATAACTTGTGGTAAAGGAGTAGATATATTTGTTTCCTGTTTCCTTATCCTCAACTCTGAATGAAGGACTATTTCATCCTGCGTATCCTTTCAGAGAACAAAAGTTCATGCTTCATCTTAATACTAGCAGAGTCTAAATCATATTGTTTAAATGAACCAATTCTGTCGAAAATTCAGTGGTAAAACACTAACAAATATAGTCTATCCCATTATGAGGAGAAATTCTAACATAATTTGATCTAATATGAGCTAACATAGATGTTTCATGGTCTTATATGTTTCATGGCACCATTCCTAACTATGACCTAGAATTCAACAAAATGCTTGCTTTTTTCATAAATCAAATTCTTCAAAAATTTGAGGACTCCACACAAGGCATATTGCTTAGGGTTAGGCATCAAAGAGAATAATCACATAAAGTGAAATAATATGGTTTGGGACTTGGTGTATTGTCTTCTAGGTAAAGCTGAAATGGCTAACACTAAGCCTCAGATGATATTAACTTGCTGTATCTTAGTCTCTGGATTGTAATTCATATTGGTTTTTGGGTGTTTGATAATTCTAACCACAGATTGATGGTGTGATATCTAGATCTGTGTTTCATAAATATATATGTGCCTTTATTTGCATTCCCCCAAGAATGGCTTTGTGGTGTAAGAAACGTGCTAGGTGAGTACAGAGATTCCCAGATCAAAGGCACTTCTGATAGCTTCTGATTCTGCTTTCTCCCTCTGCATAGCCGATAGATAGAAGTTAAGCAACAAGCAGAGAACTGTAGGGGAAAAAATAGATATAACAAGCTTTTCTTTTCTCTTTTCCAAAATACAGAGGATTTGCTAAATATCTCTTCATCATTCTTCAAGGCATATTATTGACTAATTTTAATTGTGCTTGCATATTTTATTGCTCCCTCTTTTTCTGGTTCAGGAAACTAGAAAAAAAATCTGAAAAAAGAAAGTTCTTTATTCCTAATAGCCTATGAGTTTAAATTTGGAATAAAAAACCTTTATTTATTTATTTATCTTTTAAAAATTAAGAGGCACTTTTACATAAATTACCTCTTTTATTTTAAAGCAGATAGTTAATTAATGTTTATTATGTTTTAGACACTGAAATTGATGATGAGTATTCAAGGAAAAAGTTATGATACTAGTCTTTATGGAGAACGGAATTTCAGATTTTTGCTACTTAACCTTTATTTTTAATATTTAGGACAACTTCCCTCACCCCACCACACAGCAGCTCACATTCTTGTACCTCTTTCTTGCTTCACTCTTTTCTGTAGCATTTATAACTGTCTGACACACAGAGAGTCTTCTTAAACATTTAAATTTTTGTTATTTATTCCCTCAAGAATATATTCAATGACTCTAAAATAGTGACTGAGATACAGTTACCATCCAATAGATATTGGTGAATGAATGAATGAATGAATGAATGAATACATGTACAATGGGCATTTTCAATCTAATATTACACATGCAAAAGAGAAGTTTAAGGAATCTTGGGACTCTTCTATTCTTGTAAAAAGCAGTACTATCTACCGAGTTTCCAAGTTCTTTCCACCATAGTAAATTTTAAATTTAGGCATTGTCCACACTCCATTTTCTATGTTTATAGCTGAAGAATGAGTAAAAGACATTAGGATCACAATGACAAGTTGTAGATACCATAAGAAAAGAAATGTGGAATGCATAACATTGTGGATAAGATTGATCAATGTATAATGATGGCTAGTGAATCTGTAAAAAAGTAAGACAAAAATAAAATAATGTTGAATGCTATAATAATGTCTCTAAACTAAAAAAAATATATAGAAAGGAATTGAGCATTTTACAGTTGTAATATCTTTTTATATACCTTTTAATGTACGTCACCTTTAAGCTAATCCTTTTCATTGGTGGTATCCTGTTCTCGCTCTCAGTCCTCAGCATTAAATTTGTTGGTTCACATTTTACTTACTAACCTCTTACACACATTATAAACTGTTTATTTTTGGAAAAAGCTAGGATTTCCTGTCCTAGCCTTTTATGAAAAAGGCATAATTATTATTTTTATTTTCAGAAAGCTTAAACATGTGGACTGAAAAGGAAAATAAGCTTTGTTAAAAGTTAGTGAACTAAACAATGAATAACTATCAGACAGTGACTGTGGCAGAGCATTTTGTTTGACATTGTAGAGAAGAATGAAGGAAAAACATGTGTTAGACTTCATCCATAACACTGAGAAGTTTATCATGCACATGCATACCAAACATCTGTAAGTAAACGAGTTAAATAGTAATCAAATGGAATATATATGACTCAAAGGAAAGACAAAAATTGCATAAGAAGAGAGAGAGAAAAGGAATGTTTATCAGGCAGGGCAAACATCTGAACAAAGCTATGCAAGTTTGAGTATAATGTGATCAAGGGCAAGTGAATTGATCAAGCATATTTAAACTGAAGAGTCATGCTCTAGCATATTTGAATATAAGGTGTCCAATTAAAACTACTATAAAACTTACATGGCAGGCACAATTAATAAATCAATTATTAGAACATACATTTATTGATCACTATTTATATTTCAAGCACTATTCTCTATTCTGGAGATCAAGTGATAAACAAAATATACAAGAATTGTGCTCTTATTGAGCTTATATTCTAGTGGAGGATGGTGAACACAGATAGCAAAGAAGCAAAGAAAATAAAAAGCAAGGTAATTTCAGATCATGATAAATGCTATAAAGGAAAAAATATTCTGTATTAGATCTTTTGTGGTCAGTCTTAGGGCAGGCCCTGATTATGCTCATTTGAATTGGTTTGTTTAACTTTTACTAGAAGTGCTTAGGGAATTGCACAAGTTTCTTCTATTTTTAAGATCATCCAAAATAATTTAAGCCTAATTCTGATATAATAACAGTGATACCTACTACTATTAATGCTTCTCTATGCTTGTATTAATCACCTTTGTGGTGAGTATTATCCTTATGCCAGTTTTACTAAGAAAAATAAAGCACAGAGGTTAAGAAACTTGTCAAAAGTCACAGGACAAGTAAACGTTGAATGCAAAATTTGAATCAATCAGTCTGTCTTTATAGCCCTTTATTTCAATCAAGATATTTTATTATCCTGATTGGATGAATATACATTTCAAAATAGATTTCATGCTATATTCATCCTCTGGCTCCTCCTTGTGGCCAGTTTTTTTCTTTCTGCTTTTATTTTATTTTCTTTAGGTCTTCGATGTCTCCAAATTTAACCTTCACTTGTCTTCATCCCTTTTTGCAAATAATTTTGAATTAATTCCCCTTCAGGCATTCTCTGGGTACTATCTAATACATGCCATTCTTTTAAACTGTTCTCTGAAATTCACATAATCTGCGGGAATGAAACGGTCATTGAGTAACCAAACGAGAATATAACTTCCTATCATGCAAACTCAGTATTTCTTTCAATGTATCCTAAATCAACAATATTTCTATATTTAATTCTGGTCTTCTCCTATTTTTTATTTTGCAACAAATAGTATTTTCTGATGTTTTTAACATTTGTGAGAGCAGCAAGAAAAGTCAAAGTTGATTCTAAATTTTGGCTGAGAAACTGTAAATATGACATTTTTATTTATTGAAATAGGAAAGCATAAAATGAAATATATTGGGAAAGTATTGTTTTTTGTTTTTTTTTAATGTGTTAAGTTTGGAAATCCAATAACATATCTAAATAAATATGCCAAGTCTCCAGTCAGCTATGTGGGCCTAGAGATCAATAGAGATGTACATTTGGAGGTCATTGGTATATGGTTGTTACTTTGAGATATGAATCTAGAAAAGCTCATCCAGGGATGAATATAAACAGAAGATAAAAGATCAAGTACTGAACTCTGGGGCACAGCAGCAATTTGAAATCAAACAAAGAGAAATCAGGATTAGGTAGTGAAGGAAAACAAAAACAAATAAAAAACAAACAAACAAACAAACAAACAAGAGAAAGTGTCCTGGAAAACAAAACAAAGTATTTTAGAGAAGAAAAGGGGAAAATCAAATGCTGCTTGTAGGCTGAAAAAGATGCATCCCAAGAAAATAGCCTTCGGATGTGCTAATGTGGAGGTTAATAGTGACTTGGGCAGAAGCAGTTTTATAGAAATAGTAAGAGGAAAAAGCCTGATTAGAGTGGGTCCAGGAAAAGTAGGAAACAGCAGGCACAGATAACTTTTGAACCCTTTTGTTGCTAATAGAATTAGAAAAATGGGATGATAGTGTGTATGTGTGTGTGTTGGGGTGAACAAAAGCTTTTTTTTTTTGCTTAAATTTTAAATAGGAGATATTATATTCTATGTTTGTAAATTAAGGTGAGTGAACCAGTAGAGATGGAAAAAAAAGAAGAAAAAAACGTGATTCCAGAGACAGAAAGTGATAGAAAATTACAAGTTAAAAGTCTTTGAGTAAGTGGATGGAATGGATTTCAATATGTAGGTGGAGACTGGCCATACGTAAGAGTTTGTACAATTTAACCATGGAAAATGGTTGAAAATAATATTACCGTACATACAGATGTGTTTTTGTATATTTGTTCGTTGAGACTGGTCTTGCTCTT